ACCAAGTTCTGGGAGGCAGTCTGATGCCCTGAAAAGACCACGCATGCTGCTAGAAACATAGGTTGTCTGAGCTGGAAGGGACCTTTGGTCAGCTAGTGACTGCATTCTAGTTCAGGCCTCTTATTGTACAGATGAGGAAACCGAGGCCCAGAGAAAGGAAGGAATGGCTTACAGAGTCACAGAGCCAGGACTAGCAGCCTATCTTTGGGCTCTCAGTCTGTGCTCTTTCTACTGAACCATTGGTTCAGAGGCCAATGACCAGGATCCAATCTCTGAAGTTCTTTGAGAAGGAGCTAGTGCCTGACAACCTCACAGGCAAGGCATGGGAAGAGCTTTGTAAACTGTAAAGTGCTGTATGTGACAGTGGCAAGGCTGGGCTGTATACTCAGCACTCATGAGCTCAGCCCAAACCAGGACTCTGGGGTCAGGGAGGAGGCGGTAATTGGTTGCCATCAAGGATGTCCCAGGACTTGGAAAACACTTGTCACTCTAACAAACCCTTTGTTGCCTGGGGCCCCAAGGAGGGCTCTGCATGGCAATTCTCTGAGAACCAGCTCTGGAATCCCAGCACCCGCTGGACCCTGGCGCTCCTGGAATTCTGATCAAGAGTCAACTCTACATAGAAGGCAAACATTTGGCTTCCAAAGCCCACAGCCTCTCCCATGTCATTCTTCTGTGCATCCTCCCCCGACTCTGCCAGACTCCCTGTGCTCCCACCTCCTCCCCTGACATCCATGGGCTCTCCTGACCTTGAGACCTTGCTTGTGCTGCTCCCTTGTCCCTGGAATGGCATGACCTTCACCTGTATCCATTCTTGTCAGATGCTTCCCATCCTTCAAGCCCTACTTACAGATGAAGCTTTTCTTGACACCCCCTTATTCACCCCCAGAGTTAAAATTGGTGACTCCATTCCTGATTCTTTTCGTATCACGTCATTCATTGTTTTTTAAGGCACTTATTATTTTGCATATTATTGTTGTTTTGGGTATATGTCTATTTCCTCTTCAATATTCTAAATTCCCTGAGAACAGCAACTGTGTCTCCCTCATCACCAGGTTCCCAGCACCTGATGCTAATGATTACTGACAACTATTGAATGTATATTTTGTGCCAAGTATTGTATTAATTTCTGTAAGAGCATGGTCTCATTTAAACCTTATCAGGGAGTAAAAAGTATTATAATTCCAAACTTATAGGGGATATTGGGGCTCACAGAGTTTCTCATCCTAGATCTCACAACCATCAAGAGGTAGAGCTGGGATTTGCACCCAGGCCCGTCCGGTTCTAAAGTCTGTGCTCTTTGTCATCGAGCTTTATTGACCTATTCAGTGAGTGTTCAGTGCGCATCTGTCGAGTCATCACTGGAAACCGTGGGCATCAGTGGTGTAGATGCTCCCAACAGAGACCAAACACAGACGTCCAATTTGACACTTGAATGCTTTTTATGATGTTATGTTCCCTTTGATGTATTTACTTTCTTTCTTCTGCTTGTGTAAAGTGGGGATTAAGGTCAGTTTGCCTCCTGAGAGTTCACAAAAGCGTCAGGTCTGACAAAGTGGAGCTGTATTGGGTCAAACATTTCCTGAGTGTGTTAGAGGTTCGAGGCAAGCTTTGAAATGGGCTCTGCACATGGTAGGTCTTTTTGCAGCTGGCTCCGCAAGTGGCCGAGGGGGAGTGTTGGTGGTGTGGGTTGTTCGAGACGGACTAAGGGAAGACTAGGAATGGTTTCCCGAGTGTTGAATATACTATAAAGCAAATGTACTTCACACGGCCTGGTTTTCCAAAGCCTTGCAGTTTCAAATATTGACCTTGCAAGGACAGGAAATTTTTCTCAGGCTATATGTCTCATTGTAAGATAAGGATTGTGGCACAGCAGGTTGCTGGCTCAAAGACAGACTAGTTACTGATCGTTATGTAAAGATACTGAGAAATTGCTATAGGAAGGAATGTTGCTAAGATCAAGCTTGTGTTGACAGGACCACTTAATTGCCTTACTGGAATGTCATCTGGCTTGTTTCACTGAAAGTTACCAGCCTATACTGTTAAACTATAACCCCACCTTTGTTCTCTTCCTGTAACTTCCTGGTCTGGAAGATAAATGCAGGAAGAGAACCCCAATTTGGGGTTAATTTCCCAAGGAAGGGATGTCTCTCGCTTGAGCATCCCAAAGGGAGATTAACCACTTCGGGGTCTGTCACTGCTCAGTAGAGATGGGCTTTGAGTAATCCTTTGCATCTCTGTCACCCAGGGGAAGTGGGGTGACAAATCCGTGGGGGGTGAAGTAACACAAAGCAACACCTGAGTGAGCCCACTGGTGACCCACGTATCCGGCCGGGTCCTGAAGGTTCCACCTCCTTGTGCCCTTTAAACTGAAATCAGAATGGGGGAGTGGGAGAAGGCAGTGGGAAGAGGAAGGAGGGGAAGGGCAGGGCGGGCAGGGGAGACGTGACGAGAGTAGCTGAGGGGGTCACTGGGGCAGCATGCCTGCAGAGAGCCAGTAGGAGGCAGAACGGAGGTTCCAGAGGTCAGGCGCACCAAGGCCCCACCCAGGGCCCACTCCCACCCCCTCCACAGTGCCACATTGTCAAAGGAGCATCTTCTGGCAGCCAGATACTGTGTGGCATTATTCAGGCTATCACCCAAAGGCAGTCAAACCCTCCAACCCCAGACGGAGGCCTGGACCATGCTTGGCCTCCACAGCTGCTGCCCTGGGCCTCAGATGGCCCTGGCCTTGCCTTCTCTCCTGCTGGCATTTGGGGTGGTCTGGGGGCCTCTAGTATGGCTGGGGCAGGCCACTGGAGACAGTGGGGCTGGAGTGGAAGGGTGTGAGGAACGGAGGGTGTGTGTGAGAGGGTTCTGTGAGGGAGAGGGTACGGGAGCAGCGTGCCAAGAAGTGCTGTGTGTGACAGGGACAGGCAAGCTGGCCAGGGGAGGGGTTTGTGAGATGCAGCAGCAGACGTAAGAAAGAAGTGTGCTGGGCCTTACTGGAGAGAGGAGCAAAGAGAAATGACAAGGCAGCTGGAATGGGGACAAGCGGGAGGGAGGGAAGGAGGGAAACAGGTCCAGGTCTGCCCATGAGTGATCAGTGTGGTGGGGAAGTCCCTGTCATTCCCAGGGGAAGAGAGAGCCAGAGGCAGACACCAGCGTGTGTGTGCGCGTGTGTGACTGTGTGTTGCACGCGATCATGGGACATCCCTGGACCTACAGAACGTGCTCCCTCTTGTACCTCAGTGTTTCATAGCTGCCGCCTGGGCCATGAGTGAAGTTGGCACAGAAAACATGAGGCCCCCAGAGGCAAACTGCTTGTGCAGGCTCCCAGGACATCAGGGCAGCCTGATGTGAAGGGGTTGTCCTCCCACACAGCCCACATCCTGACCAGCTCCTCTGTCACCCTGCCCCTCATGTCCACGGAGGAGCCACATGCCAGCCACGCTCACTCAGTGGACTGCCCTGATTTAAAGAACGAGAGCAAAGACGGAAGACACAGAATCTGCTGCAGGGTCTGGGCTCCTCCCGCCTGCGACAGCGGAAAGATAGGGATCAAACACCAGGGATGGTTCCAGAGGTGCCTCCCCTCCCTCTCTCCTCACGGAGACAGAATTAGCCACGTCCTCCCTGGCTGAGGGATGTAGATTGATTGCCTGGTTTTATTAAGGACAAAGTGCTTTTTGATAGTGTGAGGAAAACGGCTCCCCAGGGCGGGGATTCCGCCCCGGAGCTCCCCGAGCATCGATCGCAGGGGCTTCCCTGTCTTGTGCTGAGCTGAAGGCTGGCTCTGGCGAGCAATACAGATGCTACGATTCTTAAAGGAGGGCGCTCCGGGGAGGCGCTGGGTCCGCACGCAGGGCGCGGCTGGCGGCGCCCTTCCTACCCCTGCCTCGGAGGGACTGCCGTTGTTAAGAATTACAACACGGGGGGCTGAATCGTTGAGGGCCAGTCACCACACTGGCTGCTTTACATATGTCATCGGACTTGCTCTTGACACAGAACACAGCAGGTAAGGCTATGACCCCCATTTTGTACAGCAGGAAAAGGAAGTACCATGAAGCCAAGAAAATTCATCAAGGTCACACAGTAATTAAGTCACCGCCCTCAGATTCACACTTGGCTGGGCCAGATGCTAAAACTCGGGCCTTTACTGCTGCCTTCCATCGCCCATCCATCTCCTAACACAGGGCTAGGAAGACACTGTGCTTCTGACACGATTCCCAGAGACCCATTATATAGACCCTTGAGTGTAAAGGGACAGGCTCACTCAGTGGCAATGTCTGTGTGTGACTTAAATTCTGAAACAGCAAATAAATGGTGTGCTTCCAAGGCCATTGAAGCCAGCCCTGGGCCTAGGGATTTAGAAGCCATCGACAGAGCACCAAGTTTTAATGAGTCATACTGTTCTCTTGGCTTTTCTAAAGCATCTTCCTTTCCATCATCAGCTCCTATGTTATTCACAACAAGTTTGTGAGGTGGGTGGACTGGGAATGACCCTCTAGCACAGATGAGGAAATTGGAGCACAGAGAAGTGAAATGACTTCCCAAGGTCACACAGCTCATCAGGTAAATATGGAATTGGAACCCAGATTTTCTGACCATAGGCCTTTCTCCTACATTGTGTATATGGTATCTTTCTTTCTAAGCCACAAACGGGTTGTAGACAAGCAGGTGTACACTAAATAGCAAAAATGAATTGTTTGGTATGAGTCTTCATGTTGAATACTCATCAGATCAAAGTCAACAAAATGCCACATGATATTTTGATTCAGCAGATCATGAGCTTATTGTGACTGGAGTGGGGTGAGTCGGGGCTGTTAAGGGTGAGGCCCTTGTTTTGTATGAGAGTGCTTTTGCATGCCCCATCCGAGGGTCCCAGCCCACCTCTGACCAGGAATACTTCCTGCTTCCCCTTCACAGAAGGAACGATGGAAACCAATGGGGTAGGCAGGGAGAGTGCAGAGATGGGCCTTGGCTGGGGAGCTGGGCGGGGCCCCGGGGGCAGGACTCACTCTTGACAGTGAGGAACATGGACTTGCTGATGTCGGTGCCCACGCCGTTGCTGGCCTGGCAGAGGTAGTAGCCGATGTCCTCTTCTAGGACGTGGCGGATCAGCAGCGAGCTGTTGGGCAGGATCTGGATGCGGCCAGTGAGGGGTACTGGGTGGTACTGCTGGGGGCTCCCGCTCCCTGGGAGGAGGTAGCGGTTAGCAAGGGGGTCTGTGCTAGGGAGCGAGCTGCGTGGGACTGGAGCGCCTCAGGAGGGGCCCCGATGCCTTCCTCTCGCTGCCATTTGTAGCAGAGCTACACCATCCCCAAAGTGCTGGGGCCCACACAGCTCCCACTGGGCCACAGGAAAGACCCTCGCAGAGGTCTGGCCCTGCCCCAGCTCTGAGGCAGGGATGGGGTTGGGGGCCTCAGCCCAATGCCCACCTTGGCACTGAGCTTGTTTGGGATGAATTCCTTGGAGAGGAAGAAAGAGTTGTCTTTGGGCCACTTGGCAACAGGCAAAGAGAAGACTGAGCCCTCAAATGGCAGTTGCCTCGTCTTAGGCAGCCAGGCCTGGGAAAGAAGGGGGCTTTGTGGCACCCCCTGCCCATTCCCGTAATGCCAGCCACAGACACAGTCGAGGATATGGGGCATAGTCACATACCAAATGTATCTTTGGGGTGAAGGTGGGCTCCCAGAAGGACCAAGATCCAAGAATAGGTTGACTTGTGAAAAGCAGGGGGATTTGAGGCTCTGGGACCCCACAGTGGGGTGGGGAGCACAAATGTACACTGAGTTCTAGGGCTGGGGGGAGGAGGGGGAAGTCAAGTCTGTGGGGACAAGAGGGAATTTGGAGTCAGCATTATGGCTGTCCCTGATCCACAGACCCCAGAGGGTGGCTGAGGGTGACCTCCAGATCAGGTGTAGCCTGGGAACCTCTAAAGCTCAGAACCTAGGACTCCCACCGAGAGCTAGGAGCTGTATGTAGAGAACAGGCCCAAGTCCCATTGGAGCATCCTCCCTTCTCCTTCCCTGCCCTTGGAGATTGGGCTTACCCTTGGCGTGCTTCCACATGACCTTGGGAGGGGGGTAGCCGTCCACAGAGCAGTTGAGCACACCGGCTTTGCCATAGATGCCGTCCTGGTTGTTGGGCTGCACCACAAATCGAGGGGGCACTGCAGAAAGAGGGAAGGTAGAGAGAAACAGAGGGTCTCAGTCTCTGATAGGTCTCCTAGGGTGTGTGTGGGGCACCTTGCATTCAATGTCAGTCCTCCCCGGACCATTAGAAAGTTGGGAGCTGGCAGTCTGAAGCCCAAGATGCTGAGACTTTTTGCTGAATGCTGGGTTGAGAGTTGGGAGTTCTGAGTTCCAACCCTGGCTTTGCCAATAACTGAGCAAGTAACAGGGACTCGGGTCCCTGTTTCCCGCCCTGGAAAATAAGAGGTTTGGGCCTCTTCATATTTTAAGGCCCTGCTGGAGCCAACCTTCCATGAGCCTGGGATTCAAACCTGAAATCTAGAGAGACTTGTAGTAGCAGACAGAGCCTGCCCACCCCGCAGTCCCCCGGCTGACCCATCCCCGCTCACCGCGCACGATGAGCTGGCGTTCCCTGCTCACGGTGGCTGCTGCATTGCTGGCGATGCACGTGTAGTTGCCATTGTGCTTGAGGGAGACACTAGAGATCTGCAGGGAGCTCATAAATTCCTTGCTCTCGATGGTCACGCCCGAGCCTGAGATGATCACCTGTCCATCCTTCCTCCAGGTGATGCGGATGGGCATGTCCCCCGAGGACACCACACAGGGGATGTAGAGCAGCTGGCCAATGGAGGCGGGTGGGAACTCAAAGGGCTGGATCAGAGGGGGCACTGGGAAGGCAAGGGGGACTGCTGTCAGGCCCCCATTCGCCCTAGCCTGGCCAGCCATGCTGCCTCACCTGGGGGCTCTGGGCTGCCCCCTACCCTGGGGTGGGTCTTGAATAGAACTCTCCTGGGACATTGGTGCCTTGATCTCCCACCCATGCAGAATCTCCTGGGAGTGCCTGGGTGCCCTGCCATTGTGCCTGGCTCCCGGCCCTCTGCCCACCCATACCTGGACCCACTGTCTCTGTTCAGGGTCTTGGCTGGCCTGCATTAACTCTGACTTTCAGATTTGCCCCAGAATTTTACTCTCCTCTGCCTGCTGACCCAGTGCTTAGCTTTTCCCTAACTTCCCCACTGCTGCTCAGCTCCCCTGTGTCCGCTTTCCCACCCCAGAGATGCCTCTCACAGCTCCTGGGGGCCTGGGGTTGGTAGAGATGAGGTGGCAGGAAAGGAAAGCCATGCTGCCCCCCATGCATGCCCCATAGCTGCTCATCTCAACCAGGGCGCCGTACTCTGATCTCCTCCCACAGAGGTCCCATTGCCCAACCCACCCTTCTCTGTTGTCATCAGGTGTGAGGACAATGGAAGCTCAAATCACTGTCAGTTGCTTTATACACATTATCTCACTGAGATCACCTACTAACAACGTGACATGAACTTAATTGTCCCCATTTTACAGAGGAGAGCACTGAGGTTCAGAGCAGAAAAGTAACTGCCCTTGGTTACCCTGCTCATAAGAGGTGACAGTGGGATGTGAGTGACTGGTCCCCTCTCCAAGTCCAAGCTCTTTTTGCTGTGCTGCTTGGTTGCCTCTGAGAAAGCCCCAAACACTCCCAGACCAGGGACCCTTTTGTCTTGTAAGTGAGCTCCCTTGGGTGGCCAGAAAGAGCAGAGAGGGAGCCCCATCATCTGCAAGGCACCCAGTTGGTTCGACTCATGTGGGCAGAGCACCGTCCACCCAGCCTCCCTCCCCTCTGCCGCCTCTCAGCCCTTGGGGGGCCTGTCTGGAGCTTCAGCAGCTGAGAGATGGATCCTTCTTTCTCGGCTCTGGCTAGAGCAGCAGCCATTATCTTTATGATAACTCAATTAGGCTGCAGCAACTTCCCCAGCAAGTGGGGGAGAAGAGAGTGAAGAAGACAGACAATTAGCTTAACAAGGATGAGCACCCAATAGATGAAATCTTTCTGCAGTCAAATAATTAAATTACAAGGCTGTCCACAGTCCTCTGGCCCCTCCCAGGCACCAGCCCACGGTCTCTGGAAGTATGCCACTCTCTACCCCACGCCCACCCGGAGTGGCCACAGTGAGGGAAAGGATGGATGGCATCGTATGCATGCCCGAGGCCCTCCCTGTGCCCAAAGACTTTCAGGGCTCAGTAGGGAGCTGCCTGTGGGCAGTGGCCAGGTGTGGGCACAGGAAAGCCAGTTACAGACTTTTGGGTCCCTGTAGAGTTCTTGACCAAGAGCTCTAGATCCAGAGGAAGTGACATTTAGGAGGGATGTTGCCTCCACGACCCTCAGCAGGGGCCACAACTGACCCTCCTAATGTCATCTCTCACCTTACCCTTGACTTCACCCTGGGTCTCTGTCAGCATGGCGTGACTGCCCGTCACACCACTCCTTAGCCCTGCCTGAGTGAGTACAGCTGGCATCTGTCCCTATCTCCCACTGTGTGTGCCCCTTGCCCACTGACTAGCTTTGACCCATCTTAGTCTAGATCCACCTGGGTCCTAAATCCCAGCCAGATTTTCTGGGGGCTCTGCTCCTTGTCTGGGTCTCCTCGTCCCAGTCTCTGGCTGCCTCTATTCCCTGGCCTGGGCATTGCCCTCAGTATTCTGAGTAGTTCGTTGGGCCCTGGACATCTCCAGATAGATTTCTGTGGAACCCTGGATCCAGCAATGGCTCAATGCCCATTATGGTGACTTTCTAGAGATTCCTTTTGTTGGGCCTCTGCTGATCGTCTCCTAGTTTCTTCTTCCTTCCTTTCCCTTCCCTCACCTTCTCTCTCTCCCCCTCCCTTCACCTTCCTGCCTTTCTTTTTTTCTGCCTAGTTCAGATCCAGGCCTCCAGGCCTCCTTGAATTTTTGACACAATTGTTGTGGATACCCAGATGTGCCACCCAGTTTGTATCCTTAGGCCTAGAAGAACCACTTCAGGCCCAGTTCCCCTCCCCACAAAGACCCAAAGCTACAGTCCAGCAGGCCTCCTGGGAAACTCCTCTTTTCAGACCCTGCTCAAATGCCCCCTCTTCTGTGAAGCCCACCTTCCTCCCACATACCCCTGCAGCCCTCTGTCCACACCGTAATTATGGCACTTATCACATGGCAGGGGAGTAGCCGGGGGTCTGGGAGCTAGGACTTATTTAACTTGGTCTTATTTACCTGGCAAATTGTAGGTGCCCCATAAATGCTTGTTGGGTGAGTAAATAAATGAATGAATGTAAGTCCGAGTTTCACTGCCTGGGTGACCTCAGAAGTTCACCTGTGGTGGGCAGGGCATGGGGTGAGCACATGATGGGGGTTCATGCAAAACAAGAGGGGTGCTCTACGCTGCTCCTCAGGGTGCTGTATTGGTGCTATGGAATTCTGGAGCCTGGAGCTTCACTCTTGGTCTTCCCGAGGGTCCAGGCCCTTGCTATCATAGCCCCAAACTGGCTCTTGTGATTTAAGAGCCCGTGGACACTTGAACATGAGCAAGGGAAGAGTGGCATTAGTGACGAGGGGCTGGGGAGCAGGACCTGTGCACACAGCAAAGCGGTGCGAGGTTCTGCGGAGGGTGGGGAAGGCTAAGAGTCTGTGGAGTCTGGAGGGCCATGCCTGGGGACAGACAGCCAGAGCATTCCATTTCCACGGAGGACAGAGCAAGTGGATAGAGACTGAGAGAAATCAGGCGGGAAGATTTAGCTCCAGCAAGGGGAAGACTGCCTCTCTCAGTAAGAAGGGTTTTAGATAATGGAACAAGTTACTAAAGCAGGTTAATTCATTAATTAACTAATTCATCTAATATTTATGAAATGCCTGCTCTGTGAAGGCATTGCACTCCATGTGGGCTGGGGAGAGGAGAAACGTGTTTAACTACAGACACAGCCTCCGGGAGCTCAGGATTTACTAGGGAAGGTAGATACTTCCCTCAGTGATCGCTGGACAAGCACCACCTGGATGTGCAGATGCCGAACTCAGAGCAGAGGGAGATGTCATCGAGGTGGGTGGCTGCAGCTTCATGAAGGAGGTGGCATTTGAACCGAGAGTTAAAGGACACACATGCTTTCAAAAACATATGAGGTGAGGGAAAGGGAAGAGGCTGAGCCACAGGGCAGAGGCCAGCTAGGGGCTGTCACTCCCTGCCCATCTTCAGGAATAACACTGATGGCTATTTGAGAGGCCACAGAAGAAGAGTAGCCAACATCTATCCTAGGGGCTTAGACATTCAGCTGGGCTGGCCCAGTGCTCCCTAGAGTACTGTTGTCCTGTGGGAGGCAGATGACCAGACACTTACCAGAGGTCCGAGGCAGGCTCCACACTCCCCTCCAGGGCCCCCAACCCGCTGCAGGCTGACGGGCAGGTGAGATGCTGTGGCCAATGAGCAGCCCCTTAGGAACTCTCTGGTGGAAGTGCCAGGGGCTAGGGCTGCTCACAGAATTCCACAGCTCCAGGCTAGCACTCTGACACCCATACATGCAGGCACATGGGACGGCCTGCAGGGAGAAGAATGCCTAGGGATCCTGACTCCTCCAGGGCCTTGCTGAATATGAGGAGCACTACTAGCAGGAGGTACCAAAGCAGGGTGTGGGGACCCTTCCACATGCTGCCCACATGTGGAGCTGCTTTCTGGCCTGTGAGTCAGCAGCACCTTCCCCAGTGCTCAGGGGACAGATACAGGCTAGTTTAATGTGTGTACTTCTGACCCGGTGATGATGGGACCCTCTTCAGCACTCCTGCCCGAGTCCCCTCACTTCCCCAGCAGACAGCCTGCATGTAGGGAGCATGAACGCCACACAAACAGGGACTGCTCTCCAGAAGACTTGCTCTGGCTCCAGTCGTCTTTAGTGAGGTGCTGCCATGGTGCAGAGACCAGAGGCTGGAACGGCCAAGAACATACTGTGGTCGTAGCAGTCCATGCAGTATCCAGCCACCATAAAGCCTTTATGGCCACAAGTTTGGGAGTGTTGCACACAGGAAGGTGTACTGACCACCGGTCCAGCCCATAAATGCTTTATGGTATCCCTCATCCTCTCCGAGACCGAGCCTTTTATTTACTGCACCTGCTAGCAGAGTGTGCACTGTGGGAAGATTGGGCCTCTCTGCCCATGCAGCATGGAGATGTGAAAGAGCCATGCCTGGGGGCCAGGACACCTGGGTTCCAGACTCTGCTATCCACTCAAGTCGCCTCCTCACCATCACCCTACCTCTGCCTCTGCGCCTCAGTTTCTTCGTCTGCAAAATGGAGAGGTTGGACCAACTCATTTCTAAAACTCGACACTAATTTTCCAGTTCTAACAAATCCCATATTTTAGGAATAATAACAACCTACTTCAATTTTTTACACAACCATCTCTTCTCAGGAAGGCCTTCCCTGACCACCTTATTTAAAATTTCAAACCCCGCCCCCTGCCCTTGGTACTCTCATCCCCACTCCCCATTTGATGCGAAACATCTTTTATGCACTTGCGTGGTCCGTTTCCCTACTGACATGCAAGCTCCCTCCCTGGTGGCAGGGATTTTTGTCTGTTTTGAGCATAGCTGTATTCATAGGACCTGGAATAGCACCTGGAAAGCGCGGGTGCACACGAAGTGTCATTGAGCGAATACGTGGATGCTATTAATGCTTTGTCATTGCTGTCATCATTATCAGCACCATCACCGTCACCATGACCCTGTCCCAAAAGGAGGCTGCTTGCCCCTGTGTTCCTGGCTCCCCTGGCTGAGGAGGTTGTTGGCAGCAGCTCCCTTGGTGTCCCTCCCTCCAATGCAATTAAGCAATCTCCCCTATGATGTCTGGGGTGCCCCCTTCCTGTAGCTTCCAGTAGGATTTCTTCCAATCCCCCACCTCTGCCAACAGCAGGCATTTAGCCAGGCGGCTGGCTCTTCCTTAAGCCCTATCATCATAGAAGCCCCCAACCTATTCATTAGGGTGGCAGAGGCTCCTAGAGCGGGGATTGGTGGGAGCAACAGCTCTGCACTGAGCGGCGTGGGAAGACTGAGTGTGGTAGGGAGTATGGGCATTGGGGAGGGAGGGTGTTGGTGTGGGGCTGGGTGTGTGCCCTCTTCTGCTTGCTCTCCATGGGGACCTGGCACTAACTCCATGGGCAGAAAGCACCTTATACCCTTGTTTTGGCTCCAGAGGCCCTCAGAGGCTCAGATGTAGGGATGGAGATGTTTCCTCACTGAGCCAACACCAAGGGGCCCCAGCTGCAGCCCTGCCTTCCTAATTAATTAAACATTCAGCCTGCGTGCCCAGAGATGCTTTTATGCTACATTATTTTTCAGCTACAGGGGGCCCTAAAGTCACCAAATCTAGGTTGGGTCTGTGTGCCCTTTTCTTAGCATCCTGCCAAGGATCTCTCCAGATGTCCAGAGACAAGCACCCGCCTCCCCCACAGCCTGGCTCTCCCCGGCCGGTCAGTGTTACATGTGCCAACGCCCAGGAAGCCCTCAAAGCATCCTCCACCCTCTGTTCCCTCTGCCCCTCCCACCTCACTGGACCACTGCAGGCTCACTGGGGCAATATTTCATATGGCCCCACCTGCAGCGACCTTTTGTGACTCAGGAATATTGCCTTATAGGAGGGCACCAACAGAGGAAACATTTGTGTACATGCAACTGTTAGCATACACGCATATATGTGTGTGAGCTCTGATGTGAACAGACTAATGTATTAATTTGCTGCATGTACATGCATATAATATGTACCAATCTGGACATGCAGGTATGCCTCACACACAGGTCTCTGCGCATGCGTGTGCACACATGTGCATGCATGTCAGATGTGTTCTGTTCTTCTCAGCTCAGTGTTTGAAAAATTCATTAGAAGACAAGCAGTCCCAGAAGGAACGGAGTCAGCAGTTGTTTTTCCAGCTCATGGAGTAGCATGGGTTATTGCCCTACCCTGCCCATGAAGCCTTGGCTCCACAGAGGTGGGAGTATGGTGGGGAGGACTTCCAATTTTATCTCAAGCTACCAGTGCCCCGCCCTGCCCCCACCTTGCCCTTTTCTGTGCTCTCTGCTCTGATCTTTGGTGGGATGCACTTTCCAGCTGGGCAGTAGCTGTGGGGTCTGGAGAGCTGCCCCTGCGCCCATCCCTTCCTCCCCCCGGAGTCAGGGCCCCTTGACATGCCCAGGGGCAGCTCCTCCATCCCCCTCCTTGGGTAGCTCTTGGAACACCGCATCAGCTAATCAAGCAGCGTGATCATAATCAGCTCTGATGGGTTCTTCTGCAAAAATGCATTCTAATGAGGTGGGGAGAGGGAGTCGGGGAAAGAACAGGGAGGAGGGGCCTGAGCTTTTGGAGTGATGGGGGCACAGGGTCCCAGAGCCTTCCACACAAATGCTACTTCTTGGTCTAGAGAGAAAGCAGGTGACTATACCCACTCTGGGGCTGGATTTCTGGGATTTTTCAGACCCCGAGGGTGGGGAAAGGGGAAGGTGCACACATGAGCCTGTACAGCGTACACACACACACACACACACACACACACACACACACACACACGTTCTCTCTCTCTCTCTCTCCCGCTTCCCTTTCCATGGGCTGGGGGGACACTGGCGCTCAGTGCCACCACAACGGGCCCCGCGAGCTGCTGAGACGGAATGCATCAGATTCAATTCATTAGGACTGAACACTCCCTGAATGGGGCTGAATAATTGATGAGCAGAACAGCTTTCAGGATGTTCTGAGTACTCTGAGGCCTGCTGGAGCTCTGTTATTTTATTTTTTTAAAGCCAACAAACCCGGCCAAATGCTTGCTGGCAAGGACAGGCGCAGGGAGTGGAGCAAAGGTTAGATGTTTTAATATGTGATGTTTACACTGTAAACTCTCGGTCCACTGCTCATAATGGAAATGGATACAGGTGGCTATGATGCCGGGCAGGGGTGGGCAGGCTGCGCCGTGTTCCAGTGCCACCAGGTTGATTTGCCCAGGATGCCCAGGAGACATGGCCTAGGGGTTGTGAGGCTCCTGCTGGCACAGCAAGGCTCCTGGGCTGGGTAGAGGCATTAGGCTGAGAAGGTGGCCAGATGCCCCTCAGCCTGGGGTGCCACAGCAGGGAAGCAGGGAGGGAGAGCTCTTAGGGTCTGCTCTCTCTTCCACAGGCCTGCGATGGACACAGAGTCCCCCAGTTCTCCAGGCTCAAAGCAAGGCTTCCCACACGTCATTCCAGCCCAGCCTAATGTCTCAGGTTCAGGTCAACAACACACACCGTCTGGCACTGTGGCAGGCGGTGGGTACATGGGCTGCAGGGGACACAGCCCCTGTGTACCCATGAGGGTGAGTGCAGGAAACAAGGAGTACAGGGGAGAAGTACTGACCCAGCCCTTGCCTCTACTGTTCAGCTTTTCCAGCTGTCCACCAGGTCTTTCCAGGTGGAGGTGCCATCGCCATCATAGGCTTGAAGAGCCAGGACCAGATGCAGCATTTGTTCCCCCAAACTCTTCCTCCTCCCAGACTTCCCTCTTTCTGCCGACAGTGCTTCCATTTGATCTTGCTTCCAGTCTTGCAGCAAAGAAGAAACCAGGAGTCTGGGGCCCACGGGGGGCTTCCCCCTGAGTCGGGCTGGGCCCCCCTTCTCTTCTTCTTCCCTTCCCATGGACCTGGGGCCCAGGCTAGCTTTCCTCTCCTGGTTACTCTTGTTCTTCCCTCTCTTCCCTTGGGATATGGAGGTGGGTCCCCAGCTGCCCCTCCCCACTGCCCTGGGGTGACACAATGCATAGGAGAGCTAAGCCCCCAGGTGACAGGGGCTCTCTGAGCTCTTGAGGATTCTGTCTCTTCCCTCTCCCTCTCAGGTGGTCCCGGAAGCTCTCTTTTTTATTCCTGAGGTGGAGCACGGGGCAAATTGTCCTCCCCACAGCCTGCCTTTCCTTGGCTCTGGGCCACGCTGGGTCAGAACCCAGGTTCTAGAGTTATTCAGAGCTGGGAACAATTCGGACTCCAGATGACAATTTGCGTAAGTTTTCTGTGCTTCAGCTTCCTGCCCTGGAAATTGGGGATGAAGTGGTACCTGTGTTAGGTAAGTGCACAGCTGTGGGGTTAAACACAACAGCACAGGTAACACATCGAGCACAGTGACTGGCGTGTACTGGGCCCTCCACACTGTACCTGTCGCGTCAGTACAATGATTACAGCTGGTGCTAGAGCCTAGGAAGGTGGCTGGAGACCCACAGCCCTCCCTTCCTCCCATGCAGAGCCCCAGGCTGCAGAGGACAGCTCGTCTGCTTATCTTCCCGATGCCTGAGCCCACCCTGGCTCTCCAGAAAGAGACATAAGCCCCTTACCCTTCACGGCCATCACTGACTCAGTGACTGCCCACCCCAGCTGCCTGGCTTCCACTGACCTCTCTTTAATCGGGCCTGGCAGGATCCACCTTCCCATCCTGCCCCCAGAGCAACCAGGCCAACCTCCTCTCATGTACTGTCCAGTCTCCAAGCCTGTCAGTTCCAAAGAATGTATTTGGGGGCTTCACACACCTCCATAGCCCCGGAGCCAAGGGGACGTAGTGGACGACTCACATTTCACTCTGCTTGCTTGTTCGTGTTCATTCAATCATTTCAGCCACACACTTAGCCAATGGCTACCATATACAGATGTTCCTTGACTTGTGATGGGGTTACATCTTCATAAACCCATCGTAGGTCGAAAATGCATCGAATACCCCAATAAACCCATTGTAAAGTCAATAAGTCATAAGTAGAACCACGGTAAGTTGGGAACCATCTGCGTCCGGCACTGCACTATGTGCCCCTGCGTGAAACCCAGAGGGAGGAGGTCTTTAAGCAGCAGGCAGTGCTTTCCAGCCCTCAAGCAGCACCTGCAGATGGAAGGTCCTTCCCAATCCCGCAAAAGCAGCCTGGGCCAGCCAATCTGTGTCCCAGGAGGGGGCCAGGGCACCCAGCACGTGCTCTCTCCACCCTGGACTCCTGTTGCTGGTCTCTGTTGGGGCCCTGCTGAGTTCTTAGTGGCTCCACCCTGACATCAGGGTCCCAATGTAGCCCACCATCTCTGGCCTGGGCCTCTCACCCCCAAGGTGACCTGCCTCTGCACTGTCTGTAAATGACCCTCCTGCCCCTGGAGTCAGTGCTGCCTTGTCCTGCAGCGTATGGAGGACCTGCATATAGAGGTACTCACAGCTTTCTAGGGTCCACCTACAGTCTTCCACCCTTCCCCCTTTCTTCCAAACACCAGGCCGCAGTCTCTTTTCCTGGGCCTCCCACTTATTCAGGACTACCTGCTGACTGAGCAGCTGGCTGGACAGGGGCCTGGGCATCCCAGGTGACCAGGCAGGCAGGGCTCGGTCTGGGCAGGAAGGCCTACCTTTGACGGCCACATGGACGGTCTGGCTGATGGAGAGCTGGGGCTGGATGAGGACACTGCACAGGTACTCCCCTTCGTCCATGCCCTTCTGCACATCTGTCAGCTTGAGGGTCCCGTTCTCGAACACCACCTGCCGGTGGTTGTCTGGCAGCAGCAGGGCATCCTTGTACCACTTGATGGAGTAGTAGGGGTAGCCGATGACCCTGCAGTTGATGAGGGTGTCCCGCCCGGCGACTGCTGTGATGTTCCTCATCGCCCGGATGCTGGGGGGGCCTGGGCAGGAGTCAAGAGGGACGAGGAGGAGAGGAGGGGCAAGTGGTGCCATCAGCCAAGGCCATTGAGCACTGCCTGAGATGCTCTTCTTGAAAAGCTGCTTGGCCCCTGAGACTTTCAGGGGAAGAGAATTTGGTGGGGATAAAGGGAGGCCTTTTTAGAAGGTTAAAGGCAGAGTCTGGAATTGGGGGGCACCCATGGTCTCTCCAGGACTCACTGCTACTAGCTTTAAATATTTGCAAACAGACACAGTCCATATGTGCCTGGGGCAAGAATCCAATAAGCAACTGCAGCCCCACCAAGAAGCGGTTGGGATTTGGGAGAGAAAGTCTTCATTGATGAGAAGATTAAGATTTGGGGGTTAAAATGGAAATGTGGAGATTTTGTTATTTCCATTCTACTTGATTGTACTGATCTCATACCCAAAAGGATCTTGTACGTGGTAACTATTTAAAGGACAACAGGGAGGTCTTCACGGGATGAGCTGATGGTTTTCTTTCAACAGATAAATACGTATTGAGGACTCCTGAGAAGAGGCTATAAAACGGGGGCTCTAATCACACTGGCTGAGGGGGAGGGAGTGTCCTTAGCTGGGTTAGCTGAGCAGATGGCAATGTGGGGGATGTAAAGGAGGCTCAGCGGCCACCACGCAGAGACAGTGCTGGAGAGGGCACAAGGAACTCTCTGGGCTTCAGGTGCCCATCCAGAACATGAAGGGCCAGACTAGGGAATCTCCCAGGGCCCTGCAACTCTGTCTCCCTTCCAAGTCAGAGCAGAGGGCAAGAGAGTGGCCAGATGGGAGGTCCACATTTCTCCTGTGAGATCGGAGACCTGGCACAGTGAATTTATCATGGACCTCCACCTCTGCTCCCCTTCCCTGCCCCCATGGCAACAGCTAGCACCCCTGGATCAGTGCCCCTCCTTTCTCCACTAGCCTCTCCCTCCTCAGCCCTTGAGTCAGGGGTCACTGGCAGGGTCAGGTGAGGACCAGTCAGGGCTGCAAAGAACTTCAGAGGAGAATTGAGATCTGGGGACAATCACCTTGAGGCTTCCTTCCCCCACTCTTGGAGGCCGCCTGCCTTGGGTCATCCCACCCAGCCTCAGCCTCCTACTCATGGTGGCTTGAGCCTTTGCGTGAGAAGATGCTGTCCTGGCTCCTGGCTGCTTATGCCTCCTGGAGCTTGGGAGCTGGCTTGGTGGGAGGACACTGGGGCACAGCTTTGGTGGGCACCCATATTAAAGGTCAAGCCTGGCCCTGCTGCTCCTGCTCTGTCCTTGTCCTTGCAAGTCCCTGGCAGATGCTAGCAGATGCTTAGCATACCTGGGGCCCAGAGAGATTTGATGGGGAAGAATGGGGTGGGGGGAGGTAGGTAGGCAGGACAGATTATGGGAGAGGAGAAGGAGGGAGCAGGAGGGGTGGGAATAGGCATGGGGGTGAACTGTACCAGAAACACGCACGCACACAAGAATGAATGATTGGGGTGTGGAGGGCAGGGAAAAGGGGACGAGAGAGAGGAGAGACCTCCACTAAAATCAAAATGACGATTAATAATAATAATAAGTACTAATCACCACAAGAATAATGGTAACCACCGAGATGGCAAAGGAACTCAAAAGCCTATTCTGATATTTAAATGTAGACAGGCACCTCTTACGTTTATTCGCGCCTGATATTCAGCACTGCCCACCGAGTTCCGCGCCGTGCACCGGTACACGCCCCCGTCGCGGATCTGGGGGCCTGTGACGTTCATGTGGCTGATGGTGGTGCCGTCGGACATGGTGTACTGATTGGTGCGGTGGTTTCCGTCCCGCACGATGGGCTCGTCGTCCAGGGCCCAGGTGACCGTGGGGGGCGGGGCGCCCTTGGCCGCACACATCAGTGAGAACTGCTCCCCGGGGTTGACCACCTTCTCACTGAAGGACGAGACGATGCGGGGCGTGCCGTCTGCAGGGAGCAAGAAGCCCCCTTCAGGGTCATTGAGCCAGGAAGAGACCGTCCCTCCAGGCCACCCCACCGTGGCAGGGGGAGGAGGTAAAGCAGCGGTAAGAACAATGAAGGGCTGTCACGTGCACCACTTCATTGGCTAGGCTGTGCGGCACCTGTCACTACTGCACATGGAGTAAGACACTGGGTTTGGATTCTGCCTTAACCACTTGTGGGCACTGTATCTTTGGGCAAGTTACTTAACCTCTCCGAGCCTTTCCATATCTTACTGGTGGAGGATGGGGATAACGGCAATAATAATTATGGATAGAGTGAGGATTAAATGAATTAATGCACTTAAGGTGCTTAGCCCAGCACTTTGTAGTACTTAATAAATGTTAGTTAGCTCATCTCAACTTTTCCTTTATTAATAAAGACAGAGAGCACAGAAGTGAACTGTGTGTGGAACTGTGTGTGGAGCAGCCAGGCCCTGCAGAGCCTGATTCCAGATCTCTTTGCACGTGACGAAGCCAGCAGGAGGGGGGGTGGTGCAGTGACCCTGTTAGCAAAGGCCTTAAGTTGGAGGCTTAGAATGCACCTCCAGAGGCAGTGGAGGTGGGAGTCTCCTGCCTTAAGTCTTGGCTAACTGAAAAGCCTTGGTCAAGACAATTAACCTCTGTGCCCCAACTTGCTCATGTGGAACATGGGGAGGTAATTATTAACCCCGGCCATCCTCCCACACTGGCTTGTGGTAAAGGATTAACACAGGCGTTAATATTCTAAAAGGAGAAAGCAAGCAAAGGCCCATGTGACACTGCGATCTTTACATCCCACCCACAGTTCACACCAAAATGCTGATGTTAATCCAAGATTTGGCCGGTTGGCCAGCCCCTTCCCCACTTTGGAGGAAGACCCTTACCTAAACCCGAGGAGAGCCTGGTGTCTGGCAGAGCCTGGAAGTGCCCCCCATCCCACGGTCACTTTGCCCTTGGCCCCTCCTCTGCCTTCTTCCTCCCTTTCCAGCTGTCACCGCCCTCCCCACCTGCCTCACTTTCCACAGACCTGTTCTCAGCTGGCCACCAAGGGCTGTCTGCTAAGATCTCGTGATTCCACCAAAGGCAAAGGGTGGCCCCTCCAAGAGCAAGTGAGCTGGGTGGGGATGGTCTGCCCCCCAGTGGGGAAATATGCAGACAGGAGGTCCCCCGAGAAAGTCACCTGTGCGGCCGGTGCACTGCTTGTTGGGAAGAGAGACCAGGGATTTGGCAGGACAAGAGGAGATGAGGGCTAAGGGAGGGGTGGTTTGCTGGGGGCTGCCCTCAGGGTGAGTTTCAGTGGGTGCCTCACACCTCCTGAGAAGTGAGGGCGCATAGACCATGACAGTGAGACTGGTGGAGGGTCCTACACATGTGGCGCTTGCTTGGGTCTGGCATCTTCATCACAATGGTGAAAAATCCTTGGAAGGAACAGGATGGTGCATTATATGTGTGTTTTGGGAGCAATGAAGGAGTAGACTGGTGGAGGGTCCTACACATGTGGCGCTTGCTTGGGTCTGGCATCTTCATTACAACGGCGAAAAATCCTTGGAAGGAACAGGATGGTGCATTATATGTGTGTTTTGGGAGCAATGAAGGAGGAGCCAGGGACCCACTGCTCTTGATGGTGAGGACAGGGCTTCCATCAGCCCTCACTGCCCTGCTGTGCAAACGAGGAAGAGGTGCCTCCTCTGTGCAGTCACAGGCTGGTGCCAAGGCTCGTAGCTTTGCAAATGGAGTACAAGGTGGATTTTAGTTCTTACCCACCCTCTTCATTGGGCAACGTGTGCAGTGAACAACCTCAACAACCATACACGGAGGTGCTGGGAAAGAAACCCTGGGTGGCGGCAGCTTTAAAGGGAGCAACAGGCAGAAATCCATGCCCCTGGTAAGAAACTAGAGGATGCAAAAGTCCAGAGATTCCTAGTGCTCCTCCATTCTCAGGGAGACTGAAAACCTTCGAAACTCTGAAGAAGACTCCTCTAATAGTGAAGTTCTAGTGATTCCAGAGGGCAGAGGCAATATAGAGTGATGGTTAAGAGACCTGAGTTCAAATCCTAGCTCTGTCCCTTGGGCAGAGCTGTGTGACCTTGGGCGAGTGACCAAAGCCTCAGTTTCCTCAACAGCAAAATAGGTAACATTAAAAAACGGGCCTCCACACAGGGCCCTTGGGAGGACTGAATGAGCCAGCACACCTGGCTGGCATGCGGGAGTGCGGGATAAATAGCTCCTGGCTTTTTGCCACCTGGGCAGGAGGGGGAGGGAGCCTGGCAGCTCTGAGCCCACCCCCCCCCACCCCATGCTGGTGCCCGGCTCACCCTCAAGCGTGATGATGGCGAAGTCCTGGGTGGTCTGGGCCTTGCGGGTGGCAAAGCACTGGTAGGCCCCGGAATGGCTCTTCTGGGCCGAGGTGATGAGCAGGGTCTCGTTGCTGAGCCCGCGGATGGAGATGGCCTCGTCGGGCAGCACCAGCTCGGTGTTGCGGTACCAGCGGATGGTGAACTCTGGGGAGCCCGTCAGGGCACAGGAGAGGATGACCGTGCTGCCAATGCCGGTCTTCAGCTTCTTTGGTGTCAGGGTCACGTGAAGGGGGTCTGGGCCGGGCCGGGCAGGGGACAGGCGACGGGAAACAGGAAGAGAAAAAAAGAAAAGAAAAAGGGCTTACTGTGTGTGGAGTGTGGCTGGGGGTGGGCAGGGGTCACAAAAGGCCCAGGTTCTTCCTCCAGATGCCATGTGTGACTAGGACTAGGGAATCCCCTGCTCTAGGCCTCAGTTTACTCATCTGTTAAGTGGCAGGGTCAGGCCAGGGATCTCCCTGCGTTTCTTGTTCGGATGGCCTGTGCTTCCCTGTGGCAGGTCTCTTTGCCCAGGCAGGGCTGCGAAGACCCCTTATGCTCACCAAGGAGGATGGGAACTTGACTGGCTCAGCATTGTCCCTGCCATCCACCCCAGAAAGCAGGGAGGCACCCCTGGCCAGCATACTGTCTCCCACACCCACACAGATAACCAGTAGCTCCCTTCTGCTGGTCTGACTTCCTTTATACCATCCTGGACTCCCTGGGCATCACCCCCACGACCCGGAGCTCCCGGCTGGGTCTGTGCAGTAGCCCTCCCTGCCCCTCTTCTCCTGCCTCCTCCTGGCTGTCCTCTAGTCTGCAGCTGGCCACTTCCCTCCTCAGAAGTTCCACAACTCCCAGAAAACCAGTGTGGCATTCAAGGCCCTCAGGGTTCTTGGGGACCTGGCCCCCTTCTCTCTCACCCCGCTTCTGTTGTCACGAAGCCACACACTCTCTAGGCACCAGCATCCTGCCTGAGGTTCCTGCATACCCTGGGCTGCTTCTGGCCCCTCTGCCTACAGCAGTCTTCTCCTGATTCCTATTTATCCTTCATGCTGAGCTCCAGTGTCACCTCTTCCAAGAAGCCTCCCTGGACACAATTCCCTCCCCCAGGCTGGGTTAAGGATCCCTCCTCTGGGTCCCCCATACCTAACTAACAACACATGGAGTACACTGTCTTTTCACCCCCTCTTTTGTGTCTGTCTCTCCTTCTGGACTGTGAGCCACTTGAGAGCAGGGTGGCATCTCTCAGCTTTAAATCCCTACCATGATCTGAGTCATACTGACTGTCTCACTGGCTGGCTGATGACCAACCCCAAGCCAGCCTCTCTCCCTGATCTCTATGGGCTTAGGGTTCTGTACAGGGGGCTCAGACTGCAGGAGGTTGGGACCCCCAGTGAGGCAGCCTGCAGGAGAGGTGAAGACTGCAGGTCCATGCAGGTTGGGCACAGCCAAAGCCGACATGACTTCCCGCTTGGCTCTCCATGCCCACTGCCCAGAGCCTCTGCCCACTGCCTAGGAAATGTCGGTGCATAATGAGACAGGTGGTCACTGCTTGTCCCAGTCACCAGCCAGAGCTCCCAGGGCTTTGCCAGCCACTCTCCTCCCTACCCCAGCATGGGCTTAGTGGCAGGATGGGCAGGGAGTTTGGTGACAGAATAGGGGGGTGTGGGAAGCATTGCTTTCCTCTCCATGAACCTGGCATAGAGGGGCTGGAAGACAGAAAAGCTGCGTTGCTTCCCCTTGAACATGGTTGTCCAGCCAAGCCAGCCCATGGTGGGGTGGGAGGTGGAGGAGGGTAAGGCACCTGCACACACAGGGCGTGTGAGTGTGTGCACATCTGGAGACGGTTACTCATTGTGCAGCTGTGTGAGCAAGCTTGGATATAAGCTTTGTTACGGTGAAGGGATGCGTGTGTCTGCGCATGTGTATGGACACCATATACACGTGTGTATATGAATGGGGACGTGGGCACGTGTATTTTCAACACACAGGCCCACAACCATGTAAGTACCTGCTTGCCTATATATACTGGGGATATATACTGGGGCAGGAGCTGGGAATACCACNGGCTGGGTCTGTGCAGTAGCCCTCCCTGCCCCTCTTCTCCTGCCTCCTCCTGGCTGTCCTCCAGTCTGCAGCTGGCCACTTCCCTCCTCAGAAGTTCCACAACTCCCAGAAAACCAGTGTGGCATTCAAGGCCCTCAGGGTTCTCGGTGACCTGGCCCCCTTCTCTCTCACCCCCCTTCTGTTGTCACCGAAGCCACACACTCTCTAGGCACCAGCAACCTGCCTGAGGTTCCTGCATACCCTGGGCTGCTTCTGGCCCCTCTGCCTACAGCAGTCTTCTCCTGATTCCTATTTATCCTTCATACTGAGCTCCAGTGTCACCTCTTCCAAGAAGCCTCCCTGGACACAATTCCCTCCCCCAGGCTGGGTTGAGGATCCCTTCTCTGGGCCCCCCATACCTAACTAACACCACATGGAGTACACTGTCTTTTCACCCCCCCTTTTGTGTCTGTCTCTCCTTCTGGACTGTGAGCCACTTGAGAGCAGGGTGGCATCTCTCAGCTTTAAATCCCTACCATGATCTGAGTCATACTGACTGTCTCACTGGCTGGCTGATGACCAACCCCAAGCCAGCCTCTCTCCCTGATCTCTATGGGCTTAGGGTTCTGTACAGGGGGCTCAGACTGCAGGAGGTTGGGACCCCCAGTGAGGCAGCCTGCAGGAGAGGTGAAGACTGCAGGTCCATGCAGGTTGGGCACAGCCAAAGCCGACATGACTTCCCGCTTGGCTCTCCATGCCCACTGCCCAGAGCCTCTGCCCACTGCCTAGGAAATGTCGGTGCATAATGAGACAGGTGGTCACTGCTTGTCCCAGTCACCAGCCAGAGCTCCCAGGGCTTTGCCAGCCACTCTCCTCCCTACCCCAGCATGGGCTTAGTGGCAGGATGGGCAGGGCGTTTGGTGACAGAATAGGGGGGTGTGGGAAGCATTGCTTTCCTCTCCATGAACCTGGCATAGAGGGGCTGGAAGACAGAAAAACTGCGTTGCTTCCCCTTGAACATGGTTGTCCAGCCAAGCCAGCCCATGGTGGGGTGGGAGGTGGAGGAGGGTCAGGCACCTGCACACACAGGGCGTGTGAGTGTGTGCACATCTGGAGACGGTTACTCATTGTGCAGCTGTGTGAGCAAGCTTGGATATAAGCTTTGTTACGGTGAAGGGATGCGTGTGTCTGCGCATGTGTATGGACACCATATACATGTGTGTATATGAATGGGGACGTGGGCACGTGTATTTTCAACACACAGGCCCACAACCATGTAAGTACCTGCTTGCCTATATATACTGGGGATATATACTGGGGCAGGAGCTGGGAATACCACATTTACCTACCGTCAGGTTTGCTAATTTTCCAAGGATTTGGAGGGTGTGCTGCCCTTGTGACCTATTTCTGTGCGAGACTGTGTGTGTGCGTGTAACAGAAGGGTGGGGAGGAAGGGGAGAGAACTTTTAGCCTAACCTTTTTCAGAGAGTGCTTAGGACAAGAATGGGGGTACCAACCCTGGCCCTTCTATCTGCCCACTCTGCTGTCCAGGGCTTGCTTGTCTGAGAGGAGCCCCTCAGCCCCCTGAAGCAGGGCTTTCAGCATTTAACCTAAGCATGTGTATCATGCGCTGCTACTCCCAGAGTGTTTCTTGGGGCTCTTTCTGCTCTTCTGGCTTTACAGTGAATTGTCATGGGGAGGGATATTTCCTAGCTCTGCAGATAAACACCTCCAACTGTCAAGACCTCCTTGACTGTTCGGGAGGAGATTGGGCCCATTCCTGGGCTGGGGGGATCAGACACCAGGCCCAGGAGGCCAGAGGGTGGCTCTGCTATGGTTCTTGGGTTGGCCTGAGGGTCTGCAGCCCTGTGCTAATGAGACGGCTGATGATGTGGGAGGGAGCTTCCTTGGTCAACCTTCAAGGCAGAGTGAACCTCTCTGCAGGATGGAGTGTGGGGTCACCTCTGGACAGCCTCCTTCCGCTGCCCAGGTGGATGGCCCTCCGGATACCATCGGGTACAGCATTAAGGGGCTCAGTTTGTTGCTGCCCCACAAGGCATGGGATTCCCCAAGGGTCTCCAGCCTCCAGCTGCACTGCAGCCTAGACAGCAGGGAACTCAGAGAGGCCGACTCTGGATGCCAGAGCCAGAAGGAGCCTGTCCATTTTACAGATGAGGAGCCTGAGGCTGGGTCACACAGGAAGGGGTAGGGTGGGGTGAGGGCACAGGGTGACCCCAGGTCTCGCCAATCCTCATCCAGGGTTCTTTCCCTGGCATCAGCTCCCCCTGCCTCTATCTTCTCTGCCTGCCTGGGGCTCATCAGCACGAGGGGCCTGCTAAGGTCTCCTGCTCTCCACACGAGCTCCCTGGACCCCTAGGGCTGTGCTGGGGGAGGAAGAGGAAAGGACCAGAGTTGATATCCAGCTGGCAGGTCCTGGTATGGCTGACTGGGTTGTCTATACCCAGTATCTGATCCAATTGATCAGGGCCTCTATTTATTGTTAACTATTCTGAATGTCACCCTAGGATGGGGACATATGTTGTTTCTACTGGATTAACATCAGCATTGCTTGCCTCAGTTTAGACACTGCCTCCTCCCAACAAGCCTCGAAGCCCTGCTCTCCTGGTGAGCTCGTCACCATCCCCTTCATCCTCCCAATTGATCCTTGTGACCTTTGGGAGGGAGAAAGGCCACATTGCTCCCTATCACACTGTGGTGCTCTCAAGGTTACTGGGGCTGCAGTAGAGGCTTCTCCCACTCACCAATGACTGTGAGGATGCCTGTGGCCTCTGCTGAACCGAAGGTGTTGGTGACCTCACAGATGTAGGTGCCGCTGTCCTCGGTCCGCAGGTCAGTGATGGTCAGCCCCGTGATGCGCTTGGTCCAGCGGCTGTCAGCTGGGAGGGGTCGTCCATCCTTGAGCCAGCGGATGGCAGGGATGGGGTACCCCGAGGCGGTGCAGGGAAGTTCCACGGTGTGGCCGACCCACACTTCCTGGGAGTGGAAGCCGTCCAGGATGGTGGGGATCGACTCGGTGGGGTCTGGAAGGCAGAGAGGGTCGGCAGGCCTGGCCAGCCTGGGTGGGGTGAAGTGGAGCTGGGGGAGGGAAGGCAGGCAACCAGACAGAGCCCGCTGCCCACTGGTGCCCACAGGGAGCAGTTCCCAGGGCAGCTCCAGAACATTTTGGGGGGCTCACTGTGTCTTCAGTGCTCAGCCAGGCTGACCCCTGAGAGCCATGCTTGGGAGCAGGGGCTGGGCGGAGGAGGGAATATGATGGAGTTCAGGGCTAGAATGACAGACAGGTGGAAGAAAGGAGGCGCAGAGAGTGTGTGCATGAGAGCTCCTTTCACACAATGCATCCTTGAGGCTGGCCCAGACTCAGGAGCAGTGACCCGGTGACATGAGAATCATGATGTCTGAAGTTCGCAGGTCTTGATAAGTCTCCTTCTGAGACTGGCGGTACCCCTCAAGGATGGGGGAACAGTGTACCTACCCATGCCCGGTCTTCTCCTGCCTGTGCTCTGGACAGACTCAGAGACGACCAGTGCATTTTTATTGGAGTCCAGGAAGATTCAGAAGTGAAGCCCTCTGCAAACCACCCTGCCGCCCCCAATAATCCTCTATTTTGCATTCCCAAACCAAGAGAAGCCAGTGACTATGAGACCTGTGGCCCTAAACTGCAGAAAGCCAAGGCCCTTGTGGGTGGGATCTATGTGTGACACTTGTGTCATTTCTGAGGGGGGTCCTGTCTCTCTTGAAGTTTAGTTCTTACCCTCAAAGGCCTACCTGAGTTTTCTGTCCCTTTGGGGACCTCCCCCTTCTCATCCTGAATTCCAAGGCCTTCAATGATCTGGCCCAGCCAGTCTCCGGCCTGCCTACACTGCTTTTCCCACCCCACCCCACAGTTTCCCACTGTGGCATGGGGGTCACCTGGCTGCCCAGCCGGCCTGGTCTGCATGGCCAACTCCTATTCATCATTCACAAACCAGCTTAAATGCCACCTGTTTTGGAGGCCTCCCCCAGGCCACTCTCAGTGGACTCCTGTAGAGTTTTCTTTTCCTTTTCTTTCAAACAGGCCACCCCTCTTATTTAAAGAAAAAATTTAAAAGCTTTTTTTCTTTGGAACAGGTAACATATACAAAACTTCAGGGAGTACCAGAATAGCATAGAGTGAAAGGGAGTCTCATTCCATCCCTTCTCCCATCCACCCCATGTGCCTCCCCAAAGGCGACTGCTGTCACCTTGTCCCCTTCCAACAGCAGCCAGCGGCAGGCCAGGTGTCTGTCTTCCCCATTGCTGTATTTCCTGTGGTACAGAGCAGGGCCCTAGCTGTTGAATCATAAATGTCAGAGGGAGGATGAATGGGGGCACCCAGGCGTGGGTGGGCCAGTGGTCTGATTTTTCTGGATAAAACTCCACATTGCAGAACTTTATAGGCTTGTGGAATAGTAGGGTTAGGGACCTTGGAGGGCATGAGGATGCTGAGACCAGAGAGGTACAGGGACCCCCCCAGGACCACACTGCAGATCTGAGATCAGAAATCGGATCTCCGGGCCGGCCTGGTGGTGCACTGGAGAGTGCGCCGCTTGGGAGCACGGTGGCGCTCCCGCTGAGGGTTCAGATCCCATGTGGAGACCGGTTCCCGCTCACTGGCTGAGCGCGGTGCGGGCGCGACTCTGAGGGTTGTGATCCCGTTACCGGTCAGTAAAAAAGACAAAAAGGAAAAAAAAAAAAAGAAATCGGATCTCCCCTTACTCTTGTTCAGTACATGGGGTCCAAGACAGAACAATCTAAATTACTGAATTTTGCTCAACAGTGAAAGGCGAGAGCTGCTGATGCTCCCTGTGGTGTACTTTGCTAAGGGGAAATTTCCTCTGTACTCAGCTCATCTCCCTTGGAGAGGGGTTGGGCTAGGAATTCTCTCTGGAGGAAAGACTTTCCAGAAGACTCTCTGCTTCCTTCTCACATTTTAGCAGCAGAAAGAGCCCATGTGCAATTTCTACCTGGGTCACTGACAAGCCAAGTGACCTTGGGCAAGTCTTACGACCTCTCAGAGCCCAAGTTTCCTCATCTGCGTGGTGGAGGTGATGGCACTGCCTCCAGACCTCACAAGGCTGTTGCAGGCAACCATACAATGTGTGCCAATGTGCTTTACGGATGCTAAATCGGGTGCAGATGTGCAGGGCAATTACTATTCAGTGCCCACCCGCCTTCCCTGCCAGATTCTGCGGCCTCTTCCCCTGCCCCCCAACCTGGTGGGAATGGTTGGCATAAACAAACCGGGTGCCAGGGAGGAATTACTCAATGTGACACTTAATTGATGCAAAATACACAAATTCCGTGGCACACCGCAGAATTTACAAGCGGAGAGGCCATCAGGGCGGTGGAGGTAGGGGCGGAGGGAGGGAATTAATCACCGAGGCTCAGGCGTGAAATTAAATTCTGAGGGAAAGAAACCTCTTTCATTACTCCGGAGCAGAAGTAAAATGCTGCGGCGTGTGCATGCGACAGCCCGGGGGACCGGGCGCTGCCAGTGCCGGTGCAGGGCTGGGGGAGACAGATGGCCCGCCAGAGAAATTGCCGGGGTGCACTGGGGCTGGGCTGGAGGTCTGGGGTGCCCTGGGGAGCCTGCTGGGACCTCCCGCAGCTGGCTGAGCAGTGCCGCATGGTTAGGACACTGCCAGGAACACGGCTTCCGCACCTGGCTCTGTCCTTTGTGAGCTGGGGGACCTGAGCCTGGTCTCAGCCTCTCCGATCACTGGTTTTCTCCTTTATAAATGCAGATGACAATGCCCATCCCACTGAGCTGTGGGGGTGAAGGGAGTTAATGCACTTGAAAACACTGGATAAACTCTAAAAAGCACCTAGATGCACGAATGATTATTATTAAGTAGTATTTTGCGGGGGGTGGGGCTCAGACTATTCTTGCAACTGCCTCCTCTAACTTGGAAAATACAGAAAAATGAAAGTTGCCTTCCATCCCATGGCCCCACAATTTGGAAATGCAGGAGGGATAATAAAGCAGCAACAAGATAACGACAATGACAACCACCACGTCAATAACAGCAGCTACTGTCTACTGACTGCTGCCTACATAAGTTATTTCCTTCTCACACCAGCCCAGGGGAGCGCATTTTATCACTCCCATTTTACAGATGAGAAAGCTGAGGTTTGGAACGTTACTTATTTTATTCAGGTTGCACAGCTAGTGAGTGGTGAGGTTGAGACTGAAACTTTGGCCTGGTTCATAAATGCCCTTTTAACGACACACCTCAATCTCTCTGTCCCTGCCCCCTCCAACTTTAATGCTCAGCCACAAATATGGTTCCTGCCCTCCTGAAACAACACCTGCAATGCACTGCCGGTTGTATCATTCCTCCCTGTTCCTTTGGCAAATATGTCCTTCCTGGCCACCAGCCCCAGGAGCTCCTGGGGCCATGGCCTCTAGAGACTGAAACATCTCAGCTGACACCCATGCCCAGCCTCTCTCAGGATTGACCCTCATCCTCAGCTCTGGAGTGTGGATCTGAAGTGGGGTGGGAAGGGGCTGATGAGCCTGGAGGCTGGCGGGCTGAGCTCCCCGATACGACTCCCCTCTGCACCGCTTCGCTCCAGTATCAGTTGCATTTTTGCCGAGACAAGCAGCTTGCAGATCGCCTTGTCACATCACATCACATCAGTGCCCCGCGTCACTGCACGGCCCCCTCCCCTCAGCTCCCTCCTTCCTTTCTCCTCCATCCTCCTTTGTCTCTCCGTGTCTCTGTTCTGTATTTCCCCTCTCCTATGTCGTTCTCTCTCTGTGCTGGGCTTCTCTCCTTTTGTCTGTCTGGGTCCCTTCCTATCCCTGACTCCTTTGGTGGTAATATCTCACTCTCCTGCCACCTGCCTCTTACCCCTGAAGCTGTTTGTGAATGGAAAAGAGAAGGGTTGGCATATCCCCCACTTTAAAGAGTGTCTTTTTTGAGGGACTCCTGTCTATTCCCCCCAAAAGCTGGAGATCCAACCAGGAGATTAGGGGATGAAGGGACCAATACGCATGGAGAAGTTCTTTTGAGCAGGCCTAAAGGAGGGGGATTTCTGTGAAGCATGCAGATGAGATGCAAAACACCACACACAGACAAGTCTCTATGATTTGGAAGCAAACCACTCCAACACATTTGGGAATTGGGCTACAGATTCCGAAGTCAAGCAACAGAGACAGTGCCGCATAGTGCAGCACCATTTCTCTTGGCATTGATTAATACCATAAATATTTACTTAGCACCTACTATGTGCCAGGCACAGGGCCAGGCACTGAAGACACAAGGGTGAGTTGGAAAGCCTGATCATTGCCCTCTTGGCTCCTGCTGTCCTGATCTTGCCTCCAAATATGTGGGCAAATGATAGAGGTCCTGGAGAGAGACATCTGTTGGTCAGGGTAGATCTCACCAAACCACAGATTGCCAGAGGCAGACAGAATCAGAGCGGTCACCTAAACTAGACTTCCTTTTCCAGAGACCTAGAGAAGTCACATGATTTTGTGGGTCTGATCCCAAAGCCAGGTGTTCTGATTATTAGTTCATCCTCTTTCCAAAAGACACTCCAATATCTCCTCAAGATGGAGATTTTCAATCTGGAGAAGGTGTGAAGTCCATTTAGTGAGTTGCGACAAGTGTTTAGATAAAATCAAAATAGGATAGAATAGAAAAGAAAGTATCAGAGTGCATTGCAATGGGCGTGGCAGAAGGACCAGTGTGCACTGCACAGGTTATGATAAAACATCTGTTGGATGGCTGTCAAAAAAGTCTGGAAGCCACTGTGTCATAAAGCCTTCCTTGAGGAGCGCCATGTGCCGTCTATACTCTCTGTGCCTGGAGCGTGGACTGGGCGTTCAGCTGGCCCCTTCTATGGGGGTCCTGCAGCTGGAGGGACTCTGGGGCCGCGGGGGCAGAGCTTGAATTCTGGCTGTGCCTTCCACTGGCTAAACAGCTTGGCTTCCCTAAGATCTAGTTTTCTCTCCTGTAAAACTGGGGAGAAGAACACACACCTCACAGGGCTATTATGGAATCTAACAGACAACAAATGACAGAAATCCCTTCTACACAAGAGGCTTCAATAAATATCAGCCTCCATCCCTCCTAGGAAGCAGCAATCACTCCAGAACAAGAATCCTTTATTTAGTGTGAAAATATTTTTGTTTATAAATTATATTCTGCCTACTTTCAAATGTTGTGAAGTAGCCTACAACAAAAAATACACATGGACTCATTGATAAAACAGAACCTTAAGAAACAGAGACATGAGGAAATACAAAAATCCCCCAAATCTAAACTAATAGTTACTATGACTGAGCCTCAGATTTTATCTGTGAGCTTCCTGACGGGGAAGGCACATAAAGGAGAGGGAGGGCGGGTTCCACACACTCATTATCTGATAAATGGAAACCAATCAGTTCATCAGGAGACGTAAGTTCCCTGTGTATAGACTCCTAAAAAGAATTTATCTCTGGTGTGCCTATATGAAGGGCACCCAAAACTAAACTGGACAAGGTCTTCCCCAGTGGTTTCTGTACCTGTGTTCTTTAATCTCCTTCTCTGTGTCCCTTGAGCACACAGGGGATGACTCCCCGACCCCTGGTGCAGACACACTAAGTCCAGGGGCTGGAGCCCTCCCTCCCCAGTCCCCTCGCCTACCTGTCACAGAGAGGCGGGCCCCATTGCTCTGCCGGGTCTCCCCGCTGTACTTGTGCTTGGTGACGCAGCGGTAGGTGGAGAGGGCGTCCTCCTTCTGTACGTCAGAGATGTAGAGCCCGCCGTGGGAAGTAATAAAAAACCTGTTTTCTGGAGACACAATGAGGACATAGTCTATTACTCCCTGGTCTGGGCAGCTCTGGCTGGCAGCTGGCGTTCTCCCCAGCTGGAAATGCTGCCCAGGGAGAGGAGGCGATGGGGAAAACCCGGGGTGAAGCTGGTGCAGCCTCAACGGCAGGGGAGCATCTCCGATAGATGAAGATATTTCCATACAAAAACAAAATGCCAGAAATTACAGTAACGGTTCCATTAAGTGTAGGTGCTTCAGGGTTTAACAGAAAGAAGTTGGACTTTAGAGTTAGACTGAGATCTGGGTTTCGGTCTGATTCTTCCACATATTAGCTGTGTTACCTTGGGAAAGTTACATAACTTCTCTGAGTCTTATCTGTAGGAGAATGTACAGCACACAGTAAGTGCTCACTCAGTGAATATTAGTCCTCATTTTTTTATGCCTCTGCACTGTTTGCAAAGCTCTTTCCCATTCGCTGCTTGTTGGCTCTTAACAACGGTTTGAGGTGTAGCCTCTTAACAATTGTTTGAGGTATAGCCTCCATCTAACAGAGAAGGAAACTGAGTCTTGGGATGAAATGACTGGCCCGGGTCATACAGCCAGTAAGTGGACTGGAGCTCGGGTCTCCAAGCTCTTCCTCTGCATGAACCAGACATAGCCTAAATTCTTTTCTATCAATTTAAATCATTTATTTACTCAACAAATGATTATTGAGGCTCAGCTACCCTAGGAGGGGGGACATGGAGATGCAGATACACAGTGAGAGTTCCACAGACAGGTCTCAGACCCCAGCTTGTGCAAGGCAAAGGCTTGTGCACTGTGCCTTAGGCTTCCTGCCACCGCACAGCCTTGCTGCCTCTGACTGTCAGGACGTGGCGGGTGGGTGGGGAGGACGGGCAGCAGGACACCCTTAAAACTCTACTCAGAGGTGCAGGGCATTTCCTTGTCCAAGGTCCTAAGGCTAACCCTGACCTTGAGCTAATAAGGGCTCATTTAAAGGAGGAAATGTGAATTTGAGGGTTGAGGAGGGGCCTGCGTTTGGCTTCCAGACTCCCTAAGCTCACAGCAGTGTCCTTGCATCTGAGGACAGTCTGCAACAGGCCAGACTGAGATTGAGAAGTAACTCGGGGTTCCTCCGCCTCTTCTCTGGGGGGTTAGCTGCTTCCCCAGGCAGGTGCGAAAGACCCCAGACTTCAAGTGAGGGGGCATCGCAATCAGGACCGTGTTAGTGACTTAAAGAAAGCTGCAGGGGAGAAGGTAACACTGAACCCCTAGGAAGCACATGCTAACATCAGAATTTCAGGCTTTCATAAGGAAACATTTTGGGTAGCCCCATGCCCCTCCTACTATTTAGAAGTCTTCTCTTCCTCCTACCTGGGGGCTGAGTGACAGCCCCTCAACCAATGATAAGAGGTCTGATTCTGGCTCATCCTCCTGAGGACTATTCTGTGGTGTCCCATCCCCCCAAGCACAGCATCCAGAGCTGGAGACCTCACCAAAGAACACTTTTGGACAGTGGAGACGGTAGAATTGCAGGGTTGAAAAGATGACATCTTTGACCAAGGTTCTCCAGCCTCCAGCTGAGCATCTCTGGGGCGGGGGAACTCACCGCCTCACTCAGCAGCCCATTGCAACATCGAGAGCTCTGACTGCTGGAAAGACCTTCCTTGGTCACCACTGGTCCCCTTGGAGCTGCCTTGGGTTCCACTCACGGGAGCCCTGGGGAACCAGCCGAAACCCACGTTCCCATCACACTCCCTCACGAGCTGGAAGGCAGCTACTGTGGCCTTTGATTTTTCTTCGGGCTAAACAGCTTTAGGATTGCATTTTTAAATAGTTATTTACTTCATACGGTTTCATATAACTTTAGTCTGCTCTCCTGCTTCTTTGTGAACTTTGGTTTATTGATATCTCCCTCCTTCTCTTCCTTCTTTCCTCCCTCCCTTCCACACATCTTTATAAGGGACCGGACCTGCCATGTGCCAGACGCTTCGCCAAGTGTGGGGATCTAACAGTCAGATTTAGCAGATCAGGGTAGACTGAAGCAAGACTATAGACCCTTCGCCTAAGATTGCACTGACTTTTAGGGGGATGGAGTGGGAGGCAGCCTCATTTCACCACTCTCCTAGCAGTCAAATTCTTTTCTATCAATTTAAATCATTTATTTACTCAACAAATGATTATTGAGGCTCAGCTACACTAGGAGGGGGGACATGGAGATGCAGATACACAGTGAGAGTTCCACAGACAGGTCTCAGACCCCAGCTTGTGCAAGGCAAAGGGACAGGCACTGTGCCTTAGGCTTCCTGCCACCGCACAGCCTTGCTGCCTCTGACTGTCAGGACGTGGCGGGTGGGTGGGGAGGACGGGCAGCAGGACACCCTTAAAACTCCACTCAGAGGTGCAGGGCATTTCCTTGTCCAAGGCCCTAAGGCTAACCCTGACCTTGAGCTAATAAGGGCTCATTTAAAGGAGGAAATGTGAATTTGAGGGTTGAGGAGGGGCCTGCGTTTGGCTTCCAGACTCCCTAAGCTCACAGCNGTTCCTCCGCCTCTTCTCTGGGGGGTTAGCTGCTTCCCCAGGCAGGTGCGAAAGACCCCAGCCTTCAAGTGAGGGGGCATCGCAATCAGGACCGTGTTAGTGACTTAAAGAAAGCTGCAGGGGAGAAGGTAACACTGAACCCCCAGGAAGCACATGCTAACATCAGAATTTCAGGCTTTCATAAGGAAACATTTTGGGTAGCCCCATGCCCCTCCTACTATTTAGAAGTCTTCTCTTCCTCCTACCTGGGGGCTGAGTGACAGCCCCTCAACCAATGATAAGAGGTCTGATTCTGGCTCATCCTCCTGAGGACTATTCTGTGGTGTCCCATCCCCCCAAGCACAGCATCCAGAGCTGGAGACCTCACCAAAGGACACTTTTGGACAGTGGAGACGGTAGAATTGCAGGGTTGAAAAGCTGAATGTTCTTGACATCTTTGACCAAGGTTCTCCAGCCTCCAGCTGAGCATCTCTGGGGCGGGGGAACTCACCGCCTCACTCAGCAGCCCATTGCAACATCGAGAGCTCTGACTGCTGGAAAGACCTTCCTTGGTCACCACTGGTCCCCTTGGAGCTGCCTTGGGTTCCACTCACGGGAGCCCTGGGGAACCAGCCGAAACCCACGTTCCCATCACAGTCCCTCACGAGCTGGAAGGCAGCTACTGTGGCCTTTGATTTTTCTTCAGGCTAAACAGCTTTAGGATTGCATTTTTAAATAGTTATTTACTTCATATGGTTTCATATAACTTTAGTCTGCTCTCCTGCTTCTTTGTGAACTTTGGTTTATTGATATCTCCCTCCTTCCCTTCCTTCTTTCCTCCCTCCCTTCCACACATTTTTATAAGGGACCGGACCTGCCATGTGCCAGACGCTTCACCAAGTGTGGGGATCTAACAGTCAGATTTAGCAGATCAGGGTAGACTGAAGCAAGACTATAACCCCTCGCCTAAGATTGCACTGAGTTTTAGGGGGATGGAGTGGGAGGCAGCCTCATTTCACCACTCTCCTAGCAGTCAACGGAAGATCGGAAGATCGTGTCTCTGTGAGCTGCTGTCCTGCCACTTTCCCTCTCTCCACCCTGGGACAGGTGATTATGTGGGCCCTGCCTGGGGCTTCACGTGGATCCCTATTAAGCTGCATCTTGTTGGAGATCCTCCCAGATGAGCAGGTGGCCATTGGGTCACCTGCCAGTACCCTGTAACCTGGAGTTTGTGGAGCCATGCCTGCCCCTTCCAGCACACATACCACAACTGAGCAGACCCCCACTCAGTGCTGTGGGCAAGGACAAAAGGAAGGGGGTGGAAGCTAAGCCCTGCTGCCAGCAGGCAGAGGAACTGGAGGAAGCGTAGAGAAAGCCCAGCCCCCCACTGGACTCTGCATGTGCCCTTTTGTCTCCATGTTGTGACATCCCAAAGTCAAGTGCGGAAGCTCTCCTGCAATTTATTGTGTAACTGGGACTGGAAAGCAGAACTACTGGAGGATGTTGCTGCTGATCACAAGTACCAGGGTTGGGTGGTGGTGGTGGTGGGGAGGGGGGTAGGGAAAACCAGGAAAGACACAAAAATCAATGCTGCAGCCCACAGGTGCTCCAGCCCAAGACAGCTAGGACCCTGTGGTCTTTCATCTGCCAGCCCCCCAGGACAAGTGGAGTGCTTGGCTCTACAGGGATTCGAAGTTGAGGTGGGGGTGATGCTGTGGTGATGTCGTGGGGAGCTGGGGTTTCTATAGCAACAAGCAGCTGCTGCATCTGATGTTTCACATCCTTCATTGTCCTCATTTCCCCCTCCCTTCCCCCCTTCTTGTGCATATTTAATTGCAGTAACGTTTTCAGACACAGTGTTTTGCTCCTCCTGAAACAAAGGCAGGCTGCAGCCAGGGGGACACGCAACGTGAGAGACGGGAAGGAGAAATCAGGGGTATTATGCTAATCCCCTCTTGGGGGGACTTGTGCGACATCAGTTCTGCATGTTTGATGAGAATCAGATGATGGGCCCTGCTGGGGAAGGGAAGGAGCGAGAGGCCTGTGGAGTGAGCCCCCTACCGTGTGGAGAGAAGAGAGAGGCATAGCCAGCTGGCATGGGATTCAGATGGGCCAGGGCTGGACAACATGCTGGCCTCCGTGGCTGGTTCCAGTGGGGTGTCCTGCAGTCTGGCAGCCCATACTGCACGCCCCCAGTGGGACCAGCTGTCCCTGGAGTGGCTAGAAGAGTAGCTACTCCACATCCTTGGTCCCTCCTCCCTGGGCCAGGCTGGGTCCCACTGGAGGAAGGAGAGAGGGCAGCCAGTACCTCTGGGTCCAACCCCCATTCCAAGGCCATTTGGAAAATGGAGGGGTGTGTGTGTATGGGGGGTCATTTTTTGTTGACATTATAAGTAGGAGGTGCTAATTGACATTTAGTGGTCACAGGCCACGGGTGCTGGGCATCTTGAGAAACAAAGAATTGTTTCACCCCAAATGCCAACAGTTTATGCTGGAGGGT